CCCCCCCACACACACACACACACACACACAATCTTTTACGTACCTGAGGGAATCCCCCCCCCCACATCACTTATGGAATGCATTGTTTTTGTTTTTAAAGGGGCACCTGGCCCAACAGAGGCCAGACGTGTTCTCCTTGGCCTATTGTGGACGATGACGCTCCGGAAGCTTTCCCCCCCCCCCTCCCCGGGGGCTGGACACCGGTACCATTTACCTCAAGGACCCCGAGCCCCCATTTGAATTCATGCTCTGACCTGACATCACTTCCTTTGAGGACAGATAAGAAAACAAGCACAGAGGAACTTTTCCATTTGCTTGCTGCTGGCTGTTACTAGCGGTTCTGCCCCCTGGGGCTTTGATGCTGACATGACAGCCCCCTCCAGCACCCCCGCTTGCTGAGGTTCTCAATGCCCAGTTACAGCAGCGATCCAGACCCAGCAGGTTGCAGGGTCAACACCGACCCGCGTGCCTCACCCAAGTTCTATGAAGAGAAAGTGGAGGTCGGATTTTCAGATGAGGACAAGCCCAAAGCGCCACCTTGTGGCTATATGTCAGCATGAACTTACTTTGTCTTCCAGAAGAGGGAGCAGTTGAGCTAATCAGAAACCCCTGAACTTAGCATCTTGCTGTGTTCTTTACAAAAAATCAGACCGAAATTATCCCCCAAAATGTAGCCAATATTATTTGCATGCCGCCCCCCCCACCCCACCCCACCCCACACAGCTTGGGTTGGGGGGGCCCAGCACAACAAACCCACCCCTGCTGGCATTTATAAGCGGCATGTTTCATGCATTTAGACAATAAGGTCTATTACCTCCCTCTCAGTAAACAGTAAAATATCCCTCTTTGTGGAATTTTTAAAATTTTATCAGTGTCTTCACTCGCACCCCCCCCCAGACAGATCCCTGTCACCATCCCAAACAGCATAGTGCCACGGCCAGAGGTCACCCCACAGGCACAGGGTTCAAGGTTCGGGTGAGTCAGTGACTCTACAGCGCCCCCTGGTGTCAAACTGTGCTATCAACCGTGTCTGTGTTTTTGTGCCCAAGTACCCTGCTGCTGTCCTGCTGTCCTCTTGGGACCAGCTCAGCATCTCCAGCTGGATACAGTGATGATGGAAATGAAGGGATGAGCAGAGGAGTATCTTCCCCTTCGGCTGAGCACGGCCATCCTGCATGCCTGGTCTCCTGCTTCCATCGGACAGGGTTACCATGCTCAGCTACAATACATGGGTAAGCAGCCCCCAACTCACAGCATGAGTAAAGCACAGACACCCCCAACAAGAAATAGGACCGACTGGCATAAACGACGTAGAGTTAGTGGCTGGGGCCATGTTTGTGTCGGGGTGATGAAGCAGCTGTTTTTCAGAGCGTTTCCACTTCCTCAGGAAACAACACAGAAACTGAAAAGCTACCAAAAATACCCTGTTTACCACGGCCTGAACGTGTATGCAAAGAAAACTCGAAAGCAGGAAGCCCAGGAACAGCATAACACAAACAGAAACATCAAAATGACGCTGACACACTGCTTACACCTGCCTGTTTACATAAAGGACTCCAAACTGTATTAATCTGTAGGCTAGTTTTCCCAAAATGTTCACACCAAGTACAGACAACACAAAACTAAATACATTCAGTACAGATTTTAAATCAGGACACAGATAACAATCCAGACGACATTTAAAGTTTCAGGAATGTTCAAAGTGTTTAAAAGTTTTGTGTCTCCCTGTTTGTTGCACTGCAAGAACATCAAAGACCCTTATCATCACATACATGACCTCATTACTTAAAATAATTTCAGTAAAAAGTGTGAGAAAGGTAAGTCATAACTGGGTATAAAAATTACAATGAAAAAAGTATTAGTACTAATTTATGATGGTATTGCTCGATTGTCATTTAGTGTCTGAGGTTCTCACAGGAGCAAAGTTTCCCATAATCTCCTGAATTCTTATGCATACATCACAAAGTCAGTACAAGGCTTCTAATCCTGCTTATCCATACCACACACACACACACACACACACACACACACACACACACACACTCCCGTATCCCGACTTCAGGGGCCTCAGAGAGCCATGGACACCCCAGCATTTCACAGTGGCCCTTCAATATGTAAAATTATGAATTTTATTAGGTCCCAGGTGAGATTTTTAAGGGGTCTGGAGTTCCTAGCTACACCCCCAGCCTCACTACACGTTCTGCCCGCAACACTCTGGATGGAGAAATGTTGCGGGTGGGAGTGACTTCTACAGTTTATCCTCCACAGTCACTTCCTGACATCTCACCGGCCCTCAAACTAACTTCATTTAGCACCAGCACCCAGTTTACGTTCAAGAAAAAATGTTTAGCGTAGTTACTGTGATTTCACACCTATACTTCCTCCAGTCTATTTCTCCAAAAGGCATAAGTGCAGTAAAGTATAGTGTCACTCTAGTCAGAATGCTTACTGGAAACGTGACGTAATGTGAGAAATGGCGAACGTGTGTGACACTTATGGGGGGTGTGTCACTGAGAAGTCCCCACAACATCACAATAGCCTCTAACAGCCTTCAGTCGTGTCAGTCACGTTACGGGTGCTAAGAGCCATCAGTCACGTCGGTCGCGTCAGTCATGTCACGAGCGCTAAGAGTTGTCAGTAGCGTCGTGGGCGCTAAGAGTTGTTAGTCGTGTCGTGGGCGCTGAGAGCCGTCAGTCGCGTCTGTCGTGTTGTGGGCGCTGAGAGCCGTCAGTCGCGTCTGTCGTGTCGTGGGCGCTGAGAGCCGTCAGTCGCGTCTGTGGTGTCGCGGGCGCTGAGAGCCGTCAGTCGCGTCTGTCGTGTCACGGGCGCTGAGAGCCGTCAGTCACGTCAGTCGCGTCAGTCATGTCACGAGCGCTAAGAGTTGTCAGTAGCGTCGTGGGCGCTAAGAGTTGTTAGTCGTATCGTGGGCGCTGAGAGCCGTCAGTCGTGTCAGTGGTGCCGCGGGCGCTGAGAGCCGTCAGTCGTGTCAGTGGTGCCGCGGGCGCTGAGAGCCGTCAGTCGTGTCAGTGGTGCCGCGGGCGCTAAGAGTTGTTAGTCGTATCGTGGGCGCTGAGAGCCGTCAGTCGCGTCAGTCGTGTCGTGGGCGCTGAGAGCCGTCAGTCGNTCGTGGGCGCTGAGAGCCGTCAGTCGCGTCAGTCGTGTCGTGGGCGCTGAGAGCCGTCAGTCGTGTCAGTGGTGCCGCGGGCGCTAAGAGCCATCAGTCGCGTCAGTCGTGTCGTGGGCGCTGAGAGCCGTCAGTCGCGTCAGTCGTGTCGTGGGCGCTGAGAGCTGTCACTAAGTTGAAAGCTTGTGAGTCAATACCCTGCTTTTCCTGGGACTGCTCTAAATCACAGGCTGACTCAGCTGGGCTCCCAGGGCAGTGTTTTGAGTGGGATCCTAGGCACCCCAGGATGGAGCACCTTGACCAGACCAGGGCCATAAGCCCGTGGCATGTTGCAGCTACTTTGGCTATTTAAATAGCAACATTTTCCCCCCAATCTACACCCAAGAAAGCATGAAACCAGAGCAACCCTAATGGTAAAGCAACACAGGAGCATCAGTGTAAAAATCCACAGCTTAAGTCAACTGCTCGTGATTTCATTGGTCCTGTGCCCCATCGCTTATGCTGAGGCCTGTCCAATCCTGCACTCGGCGACGGCGACACCCACTAGCCATCCCTGATAGGCTGGTCGAAGTGTCAGTTACAAGAGGTGGAGGCAGAGAGGGCTTGAAGGGCCGCCTCCACACTCTCCATGTGTTTCAGGCCAGGCAGGTCAGCCTCCAGCAGAACCTCCAGAACAGTGTGCTGTCGCCATAGAAACATAAAGAGACATCTGTTATGACAAAAAAGGAAAGTGACCACAGAAAAAAAACTTTTCCAAAAATGTTGTTTTCTACTATAGTGTATAGTGTACTACTACTCTACAGGGCCCTACTCTATAGATCTACACCAGGCCTCACCGACTTACTCTACTCCTCCATATATCATATCCATGTCCCCCTGGGCTGTGCTGCTCCACCCTACAGAGTTTCTCAGGAATCTTACCGGTACGCCAGTGAAGATGAGGGACACCTCACATTGCTGGAACTGCCGTAAGAGGTCCTGCAACTCATTGATCACTGTGTAGTCTATGGTGCTGAAGTGCCGGCAGTCCAGCACCACAGACCGAGGGGGGGAGGCTGCGTGGGGGAGGGGGAGGCAGTACGTCACATGACTCACACATCACATGACTCTCAGAGTTATACCCAAAATTGTACAGCCAAAGGGACGCCAGAACAGCATCTGAAAATCGATTGGTTATTCATTTAATCTTTAGTCATCCAGCTAATGATTCTTGTTTATAAAGGCCCAAGGGCACAAATATAAATTGTGTTTATTTATTTTTATTTAAATTAACAATAAATACAAGTTATTCAAGTAAGTGACACATTAAATTAGCATTAAATTTAAAAATGCTTAATTATATTGGCTTTTCATTGCAATGAAACAGTTTTTTAGATTAGAACCACAAAGCCAGTCTTACCCACAAAGGGCCGGTGTGTGTGCAGGTCTTTGGGATAACCTGTAGGTCAGCTGTTCAGACCCAGGTGTGAGGTGTGAAACTTGTGGGTTGCTGCGGGCACTGACCTGTCAAGGCCTCTGTGTACAGCAGCCGGCTGATGTACTCCACGGCAGGGAAACTGAGCCCGCTGTCCAGCGCCACCACCAGCACGCCATGGTCACGCAACTGTGGCAGACAGCAGGGGAACACATACAGCTGATCACCGGGACAGATGCCACCTATTGGCCACTTAAATAAACTGCAGTTACAGGAGTGGACATTGAGCCACTGCATCCTCAGGCATTCTCAGCGGGGTGCTGCTGTGCCCCCCCCACCCCCGAGTGAATGTCTATGGAGGACAGAGAGAGTCACCCTGAAGTTGTGGGACAGACGGACGGTCTACCTTGAGCCTGGGCCTGGCGACGTGGTACAACAGCATAGCCCCAGAGATGGCTATCCCGCAAACGATGCCGTACTGCACCTCCCAGAAGCTCACCAGGAACGTCACCAGGAAGGGCAAGAGGTCCAGCCCTGCGGCGGGGGGGAGAGGTCATGCTGACAGCGCCCCCAAGTGGCCACTCCACCTCTTTCCCATGACACATACAAACACATAGAGGTACAGCAGGCAGCTCGCTCACGTTTGACCCTCCAGAGCTTCAGAGCGATGCCATAGTCGAACATGGGGGCCACGGCGCAGATGATGACGGCGGCCAGCGAGGCCTTGGGGATGTAGTAGAAGATCGGCGTGAGGAAGGCGAGGGAGAGGAGCACGATCACACCTGGGGGGTGGAAAGGCAAACGTTTAGGGGGTTCACGGCCACCGCTGTTGTGGGCAGGACTGTTTTCACGTCGGGAGGACGTTACTCACTGGTGAAGACACCCCCTAAAGGCGTGCGCACGCCACTCTGAGAGTTCACCGCCGTCCTAGAAAAACACAACAGGGATTAGTGCACCCACACGTGCACATCACCACGGCGACACACATCGCCACAGCAACACACATCACCACGGCGACACACCTTCCGAAGCTTCCTGTGATAGGGTACGCCGACACAAAGGAGCCCATGAGGTTAGTGAGGCCTGCGGTGGGAGGGGGGGCAGGCGTGGGAGAGGGTCCAGCACCCAGGGGCATTGTGGGTACAGAAAGAACGAAGAACACAGCACCATCAGCAGCAGTTAGATATCTGTTTTGGCCCATCGGTCGTGTGAAGGCATCTAACATCAGAGACTTTAGGAAGTAAAACACACTGGTGTGTCTTTTCTGTACTCACCGATGGCAAAGAGCTCCTGGTTACCATCGATGCGGTAGTCATTCTGACTCGCTGTGGGGTGGGGGGATGGGGCACAAGAGGGCATGACATCAGCAAAGCCCGCCCCCAAAAGAAGAACTGCACCCAACATCGATGCTGTAGCTTCAAGCTAAACGGACCAAGGAGTCCTTCTCACCAAAGGCCTTCGCTATGGCGATACTCTCCAGCAGACCCATGAGGGGGATAACGGCCAGGCCCCCGCCCAGGTCCTGGGAGGGGAGAGACACATCAGGCCCGGAACAGAGAACTGGACCGTTACCGTCCCCCAAGGGAGATGTGATGTTCGACCCCAAAAGGGACCACAGATCGCTTTCACATTCGTGTAGGATAAAAACGCCCATCGCAGCTCATGCCAAATCAGAGGAATTACAGTACCCTGCTACAGCTGCACCAGTCACCCTGAGCACAGTCAGATCAGCATCCAAATCAGCCACTTTTCAAGACTTTCATTAGGGTTAGCAATCTGAGGCTAGGATTAGGGTTAGAAAAAGTATGGCATTTTCAGGCATCAATATGCGTTTTTATGACAGTTCTGCTCCCCTGTAGGATAGAGAACCACAGTTTAGCATGTTTTAGTAGCATATTTCCAATAGCCTGTTGTTTCACCCTAAGGCCCCAAATCCAGTCAGTCTCCCCTAAAGCATTGTTTACATTTTGCGCATCGTTCAACTCGAAACCTTTCTAAACCGCCTAAAGCGTGCCTGCGGTCTGCCAGCGCCTTGTAACAGTTAGTGTGCTTTCTGACATGCCCACGGGACACGTACCAACGCGATATCACTGAAGGAGAGCGCCGTGCCGTTGACCATGGCTTCGGAGAAGGCCGGCACCCGGACGGGCGGCAGGCCGGGGGAGGTCTTCCCCGTGATGGTGAAGACGTGGTGCCCGGCAGCTTCTGAGGAGTACACCACCAAGGTCGCACTGATCACCACCAGGGCATTGCGTACTGAAAGGGAAAGGCCAATGCAAAGCTGGGGGTGATGATA